CCCCAAAACCCCAAAACCCCAAAACCCCAAAACCCCTAATCAGTTCTAAAATTGACGCATTGAGTATAATTTGAGTTAGTTATGAAAAGTTTTAAGTTTTGATCTCCAGGAGGATGTTAAAGGTCTGAATAGTACTCTGAGTCATCAGGATGGACTCTCCGCTTTGTGTTTCGTTTACAGGGCCATCATATGATCCAGCTTACAAAATTCCACCCTAAAAAGGTGAATATTATTGGGATAAAGATTAAATAGAGTGATATTAACCTGATTAGGAGAAAAATCAAGGCATTTGTCATCTTGCTATTCGTAAATCTGTCTCAATATTTGAAGTTAGGGGTAAATCTCCAGTAAAGGTTATAAGTAACGTCAAAAAGACAAATGAATATTATAAATACAAAGCAAATCCACATATTTCTCAAGGTTTTGTTGATAGAGTCATGCTGATGAGAATTACTCCAAATGCCTATGGAGAGATCCGACTGCGTATCTGTGTCCTCGACAATACTCCCATTAGTTATATCATTATGAAGAGTCCTCTTCTGCTCTTTGGATTTTGCTCTTCTTTTATCATGGCCATAGAGCACAACTGTCTTTGCTTTTACCCTCTTCTGAATTTTGATCCCTACGAATAGAGTGACTATTATAAGAACCAGAGTGATTATTCTGTAAATAATCCAGGCAATGTCTCTTCATGGCTCGGTTGTAATAAAGTTACCTATCCAGAGGAATCACCATATAAGCATTGAGAGTCCAAAGAAGGAGACAAACGACATGAAGATAATTTTTAGGTAGTTAATGATCCTATTTGCTTCTTTCCTCGTCAACAAATTCAGTAGCATTCTTGATGTAGAAGTAAATAACATAGAGCATGGATGAGCTCTTGAAGAACTCCTGGATGATTACGAAGACAATAGCATATTCACGAGTCAATCCAGCTGCATAATGGAGAATGATGAAAAACATTGATACAGTGCTTAGGAACATTATTAGGAGCTTGCATCTGACTTGGAAGAATCTATCCATGTGTTTGTAAAGGATAACTAAGCATATTAGACAGAATATGAAGATAAGTATGGAAATTATTGACAACGCTTTTCTCATGATTCAGCTTTCTATGAAAAGTTACCCTGTTACCGATATATTTCTCTTACCTCTTTCTCGGCCGGATCAGGAGCTAAAGAGGGATGTGGCCATTTTTTCTGTAATTATTCTATAATTCCTCTAGAATTTGGGGTTTTGGGGTTTTGGGGTTTTGGGGTTTTGGGG